TGTCTCCATGTAACACGGGCCCTTTTGTGCTAGCTTCTACTGCTGTTTGTGCGTGGCATGGTGTGCTTTTGGACGCTTTTTCTGCTTGGTTGGATCCGCTTCAAACTCGTGTGCACCAAGCTTTTATCGCTGGGCGGATGCTACCATGTGGATATCTCCGCCTTTCGCATGGACCTCGGCTTACTCTTCCCGAAGTTGCACCCGGCTTTGCTGCTTCTGCGGCTCTTGGTGCTGCTGCCTCAACTGCGATTGGTTATCCTAGATCTACTGTTTCTGGCCCTGCTGCCCTTTCCACAATCGATCGTAGCTACCCTCTCTTTGCCTTGTGCTTGTTAACAAACAGGACACCATGTCCAGCGGCAATGTGGAACTCCTGGGCGACAATGTGGAAATCCTGGATTAAGAACCCGAGGGCGAGGCTCCCACCGCAGGGCAGCTTCCAGCGGCGGGTGCAGAAGACGAGAGCCCCCCCATGCCCATGGCGTTCACCGTCGATGATTTGCTGGACAACATCGCCACAGCAGATCCGGCGGAACTGGAGCGAGCCTACAACACCGGACGTGTCTCTCTCAAGGATATGGTAGAAGCGGCCCATCTGTCGTACGATTCCCCCCTTTTCGTTCCTCCTTTCTCGCGCCCGCCGGAAGACAGATTAATCCTCTTGCCCCACGACGAGTTTATGGCGTACAAAGGTTGAACGAGACGTGGTGCGACGGTCTTGCCGGAAAGATAGCAGAGTCGGAGGCGCAAGCGGAGCGCTTGGCGGAACGGGAAGCGTCTCTGGCGAGGAAGCAGGAGGAGAAGCGTAAGGCTGTTCGGGCTGCTGCGGCGAGGAAGCAGGAGGAGGAACGTGAGGCTGCTCTGGCTGCTGCGGCGAGGAAGCAGGAGGGGGAGCGTGCGGCTGTTCTGGCGGAGCGTGAGGCGTATCTCCAAGCGGCTAGGGCGAAGCAGGGGGCGCTCCGATCGCGGCTGAAGGAGCTGGAGCCCCGCCACCAGGACCCGCGAGCAGCCCCCCACCCCCGTCGCCGTGTTATCGTCCCCCCCCCACGCAATCCCAGGTGCTCCTTGGTTCCCATTGTACCGCCTCGCCGCAAGAGAAGGAGCGGGAGGTGGCGGCTTCTCCGACGAACGAGAAGGAGCGGAAGAGGACAGCGACTCCGGAGTTTTCGGTGACTTTGGGCCTTCCGGCCGGTGCTGAAGACGGAGCATCGTTTGCGGCGGCAACCACGGTGTACGAGTTCCACGTTGGAGATACAGCGTTCCTGTCCCGCCCGCTGGAGATGCCTGCAGAAGGTGTCACCTTCCACGATGAGGACAACTTGGCAGCTCTTTTTGCATGGGCTGGCATCAAACAACTTGTCCGTGCACAATTCCCCCCACCGCACATCGTTGCTTTCGGGCACATCTACCACACCCTGTACCTCGCGAAACTTCCGCCTTCTTCGCGGCAGTCCGTGTTCCAGCTGTTGTTCGCTCTCCGTCGTGCCACCTTTCCTAAAGGTCCTCAAGGAACGTCGGTGGTGACCCAGGAGGAAGGACTCCAGCTGCCTCTTGCTCGTGCTGCTTCGACCAACGACTTTAAGCACGATCTGCAAGCCCCTCGCCAGGCCTCGTCACGCCCTGCGCATGGTTCTGCAGAGGACAAGGACTTCAGTAGGTCGGCGGCTCCGGTGTCCAAGAGCTGGAAGAATCGTTGGGGCGACCGGGATTCGACGACCAAGAGCGGGACGGACGACCACCACCGCTCCACCCAGTCTTCGCGAAGGCGCGGCGTCGGAGATAACAGGCGAGGGCGAGCCGTGGGGAACCAGCCGACCGNGACAAGGACTTCAGTAGGTCGGCGGCTCCGGTGTCCAAGAGCTGGAAGAATCGTTGGGGCGACCGGGATTCGACGACCAAGAGCGGGACGGACGACCACCACCGCTCCACCCAGTCTTCGCGAAGGCGCGGCGTCGGAGATAACAGGCGAGGGCGAGCCGTGGGGAACCAGCCTACCGGGTCTTCGCCGGCGAGCAGCCATCACCGGAGCAGGAGTCGGAGCGCAGAAAGTCAACAGCGCACCAATCCTTCGTCTAGGCGTGGCCGGAGCGGAGACCGGCGTGGGAGAAACACGCCTCCGTCTAGGCGTAGCCGCNCCAATCCTTCGTCTAGGCGTGGGCGCAGCCGGAGCGGAGACCGGCGTGGGAGAAACACGCCTCCGTCTATGCGTAGCCGCAGCCGGAGCCAGAACCAGAGCTGGGGCAATAGCAGGGCGACCAGCACTGACAGCAGTCGCGGCGGAAAAGGGCGAGGGAGGTCAGGACACGGTAACAGGCAAGTGATGTATGATCGAGGTGATTTTCGTAGCTCTGGGTTTTGGGGGAAAACAAGGATGCTTCAGAAGACGGTTCTCTCTGTTCTTCACCGCTTGTTCTACGCTCTCCCGCTGATGTAGGCCAACCGACCAGGTCTTCTTTGGCTTTCAAACTTGCCAACATGCCGCTTCGTGAACGTTCAGCCGCTGTGAAAAGCCATGCCCCTGCCCATGCCGTTATGGATCATCCCACATCTTCCTCGCCTTTGGACGAACCTGTTGAGTCACTACGCCATGCTGCATCACACGCCTCGACTTCGGCTTCCCGTACTGAAATGCTGTTGGAACAAGTACTCACTCTCCTGCGAGCAAATCAAGTAGTAGATGCTGCTGCCGACGCGAATGTACAACCTCCTGTGCCCCCCACGCTCCTAGCGTGCCACCACCTGCCTTATCTTCTTCCCCACCAACGCGTCCGACACCGATGCAAGACCACGCTTCGAGCTTTTCGGGAGCTCCTGTGGGACGCGATGTTCGTGCCGAAACCGCTGCCAGGACCACGCCAGGAGCATCGTCATCAGCCACGAGGTCGGCGACAGTACCGGTCGAGCCTGCGGTGGCACCGTCAGCGTCGACAGCCCCAGCCCTGTTGCAACAGCCTTTGGTGGTATCGCCCCCCCCCCTCCAGCGTTCGTCTGCTCTGATTGATCCTGACTCTGCAACCGGCCATATCGTCGAGCCACCGAGTCAAGCGGCATCACCGCTGCCACAGGACGATGCTGGTTTACCTTTGTCTTCCACGGGAGCGAGAGCGAGGCAGGAGGCTCTGCACGCTGCGGACGCCGCTGCAGCGGAGGCCGACACCATCCGCGTTCAAGACAAGATAGACAAGCTGACGCCGGAACAACTTGATAGTGTCACACGCTTGCCCCTCGGTCCCGATCCTGATGAATTTGCTCGCTTCGCGTCTAGCTGCAAGGGTGTGGTCACAGAGATCCTCAACAAAAACGCCGTCAAGCGCAAGCAGACTTTCAATTCCTCCACCTGGGTCACCGGATGGCTTCCGTTGTTGCGCAAACGTGTCCGTCCTGCTTCGTTGAAGGCCAAACCACCAACCGTGCCACGCTGGAATTTCTTGATGCCACCTTCCTACAGGTAGGTAGAAAACCATCTGCGCAAGGAACCGGCAGGGCCCTCGACGTACGCCTTCTTTATCCAGAAATTGGCGGCTGCCTGGGACACTCAAGACAAGAGCTCGGGGATTGATCGTCTTCGCAGTTTTGGCGTATCCAACGGCGAGACTTGCGGAGAATAAATTCGTCGCTATAAGGCCCTGGCCATGGCCGTCATGGTTTCCCACCACGCGTTCAAGCATGCAGATAGCTGTTCGAGACTCCATGTTGAAGCACTTTCCGGTAGTGTCTGGGCAGGTGTACAAGGATGAGCAGCTCTCATGGAAGCCCCTTTTGGGCGACATGCTTCGTGTCTGGATGATATGTGGGATGTGTTGGACAAGCGTGCGTGCGTTCGCGCACACGCCGGCGGTGCATGGAGGTGATTTCCTTTCGGTATCTTCCACGAATGCTAGGAGTTCGCCTGCTGTTTCGCGTGCTGTAGCTTCCTCGGCGTTGCGTTCGACGGTGACCCCTTCGTGGAGCCAAGGTTCTTCGGCCGCCGTGATGAATGGTGACCCACTACCTATTGATGATCGGGACCCTTTTCGGTTGCACTACAGCGACTAGCCGTGGCAAGGACACGTCCAAGAGGTGTACAACGTCGCTTGTGAGATGGCTCCAACCAAGAATGATCCGCCATTGTTCACCCTCTTGGTCTCGGCTGAAGAGCGCCGCAACGCGCTCCGACTGTACAAGGGTAAGTGCCTCAACCGCTTAGGAGAAGACCACTCGTTCAAATCCTGTAATCGTGGTTTCGTGAACGCCACCGGCTTGCTAAACAATGACATCAAGTATGGAAAAAAATCCCACCCTTTGGGGTCGGTGGAAAAAGCGCATGACCTCGTATAGACGCTCTACAGGACGCAACCCACATCGAAATCACCCCTTCGGACGCGCCCGCCGCTCATCTGACACATCGGACACGAAACAGTCCTCACACACAAAGAACACTCGTTGGACGCTTCCACTTCGATACAAAGGGGCTGGAGGGGTAAGAATTGACAAGCCGATGGCGGAGTTCAGCCGGTACAACCGTCAACAGCAACCACCGTGCACCCTTTACGAGTCTCCCAAGATGTTCGTGTATGGTATATTTCTTTGGATACTCCCCACGCTCCTAAATCACATCTAGTTTTTCGGCCCACCTCTTCGTCGTCCGCCTCATCGCCTGCTGGTAATGGACATGACAGACCCATTTCGGCAGTACCTTTGTGGTGTGGGCGACAGGGAGGTAAGACGTCGAGCGGTCCATCCCTGCTCACCTCGTCGTCTCGGGTTACAGAAGGAATAAGAACCTCGTCTTCTACTATTCGTCAAGACTCTCCTGGTGTTGTCAGCCGGGCCTCTTCTCGGATCGCACACGAACCTTCTTCTACACTAGTCGGGAACCCCGTCGATCCTCCTTCTCTTTCGCAGCTTTCGTTGTCTTCGACCGTCCGCTGCCCCCGTGTGACAGCACCTGATACGGATGCGTCTTCCTCTGCTGCCCACCACGTGCTTACTGCACCACTGCCATCGGGATCCGATGGAAGTGCCCACCATTCTGTGGAAGGTTCGGCTCCTTTGTCAAGGGGGAGTAGTCAAGAGTGCCCTGCGTCAAGGATCAAACATCCGTCTGTTGCAGGAATGACTTCCCCTAACGAACGAGTCTCTAATAGCCGAATGGCCTCTGCTAACATTGATCCCGCCGAAGCCGCCCTAAGGCCGCCCTCCGGATCACGGAGCGTTTCGACTCCGCCCGCTCCTGCCTCGCGGTCCTCCCCTTCGGAGAAGAGGACCCGTCCGCCTGGTCCACCCCCGCGTGGGCCTGGTGCCCGCTCTTTGCCCCTTCGCCCTGCACCGGCTCCGCCGTTTGATGACAAGTGCGAGTACGCTTCGGATGACGTCCTTCTTTTCTGGAAACCTCCGTCTGTGTTCTCGCAATGAACTCCTTCGGCTTTTGACGTACTGGGGGTAGGTTATTCATGTGGTGAGCAATCTATGATATCTGAAAAAGCGAAGTTGTTTGGAGATATGACGTCGTATGACAAAATTATGGCTGCAACAGATCCTAAGACACACAAGTTTTGGGGTCGAAATGTACGTCCTTTCGACTATGCTGAATGAGAGCGTCGTCGTGAAGAGATCGTGCTTACGGGGTCGTCCGCCAAATTTGCTCAAAACCATGACATGAAACATCATCTTCTGGAGACGGATACCCGCCTCCTTGCAGAAGCCAGCCCCTCCGATCGTGTTTGGGGTATCGGCATGTCTGCATGCTTTCCAGATGCTAGCGTTTTATCCAAGTGGGCGGCTAGCGGTAAAAACTTGTTGGTAAAAGCTTTGATGGAAGTTCGACGCCTTTTGCGTGATCATCCCCTGTCTGGCGAAGGTTTCCCCGCTTCCAATTCTCCCACGGCCCCCATTTCGCAGCCTCCTCGTCATGGACATCGACGCATTCATGAGGTTGCAACTACTACAGGTTCTTCGCTACGGAAGAATATATATGCGGCAGAGCACGCTATCATCCTGAACAGACGACGACAGGAAAAAATATATATAAATACCCAGACGCCACACACCACTCTTTTACGCTCACCCGCGCGTATTACCGCTGGAGGAATGAGGGTGACTACCCGAGCGAGTCCAAAATACGGTGTCGAAACTCAAAACCCAAACAAATTTCCGAACGAATGCGGCCTTTGATACTGGACGTGACGCAAAGGGAAAACTCAACGCAATCTAGGACGTTAACGAAGGGCAGGAGAAAAGAACGACAGGCAAAGGCACGGAGAACGATGGCCAGCGTGCCAGGGTACCTAACCTGTATAAGGAGACGGCAGGGGCAAGACCTGATGAGGACCAAGGATGCAAAGCACAAGCACCAGAGAGGCGGTCGACGAACTGCGCTATGGCTCGCTGGCGATGCGCATCATTCAAAGACATTAAACACAGAAATTCGTAGAAATTCACACAACAAGACGATGACTCAGGGGCGCTACTGTGATGAAGGCGTCGCCCGAAGGTGGCGATGATGGAGACGAAGCAGAACGAAGTGTGGGTGACGACGAAAATCCATGGGAGAAGGCGACGCCACGGGATGGAATCCCGAAGAAGCAAGTGTATGCAACACTTCGGCGGCACGATGGAACAACAAAAAAATATTTTGACAACATTAGTTGGCGAACAGGCGAACCAGGAACACGCGGGGGACTCGGCGTCCAAGTGTCCCGAGGCAAACATCACCGACGAAACTTGGGGAACTCTTTTCCCAAGTGTTCAGAGGCAGACAACACCGACGAAACTTCGGAGGGAGCTTGTTGAGAGAACCAAAGACCAACAACAACAACAACAAATCGAAGCAAAGGCGAAAGAGAACGGACATCCAGGTCGCGGCAGTTCACTGATTCAGATTAATGCAGGTAACAAGGAAGAAAGATCACTCGACACTGCGTGTCTTGAGGCGGCGTTGCCCCAGCGTCCAAAACAGAAAATAAGCCAACGAAAGAAAAGGGACAAGACAGAAAAACAAAACAAAATAAAACAAAACGGAAGGTGACAGAAAAAAAAAGAAGCAAAACGACGGCGAGAGGGATGGCACAAAAGACCAAAATAGGTCGATTGGTATATCAAAACGACGACGCTAAGAAGAAATGGCGGGAACATCCGACGGTAAGGAGTCAGCAAGGAGCGGAGTGCGACCACGGTTGTCGCCCAGAGGGCGCGGACGATTTTTCTCTAAACACCATGATCCACAGACGGCGTCCAAGGCGGTGGAGCAGAGATGCGCAGGCAGAGGGAGAACGCTTGGGCCCGGGTCATCCAAAAATCGAACGATGTACGAGTCGCCCTGATGAGCACCAATACGTCCGGTCCACCACAATCCATCACGGGCCTTGTACCACAGCCGCGCGCCAACAGGGAGGGGCGAAGTGCTGAAACGGCGAAGCCAAGTCGCATTAAGCACAAGATCAGCCCCAGGAGGCAAGTAGCGTTCTCCACGATTCCGGGCTAGCTCCCGCTGTGCTGCGCGAATCCGAGCCACTCGATATTTACGGTTACCCTGCTCGCTTTGGCAGGCCTCCCGGGACCAGTACAAGAGGATGTGTCGACGGAATAGATCAAGGTCGGATTCCCGTTCCCATGAAGGAGTAGTCAGGCCTACCCAATGCGTCTGGTACAGGACAGCGAGAACGCCGCTACGGCCCCGCACCAGTTGATGTCCCGAGATGTAGTCGACCTCGAGGCGCCCGACAGGCACCGACACATCATCCGCGGTGACGTGGAAAGGTGGACATTTATCTCCGAAAGAGTGCAGAACATAACGCGAAAGCTCGGCGGGCAGAGATTGCGGCAAGTCGTCCGTCTCGTACGGATTGCGACAGGGCTTGCAACGAAGGACAGACACGCGACAACGAGCTGCCGGGCCGGAAAGATCGGAAGGCAGGTCCAGGTAGAGGAGTTTATGCGCCAACGGGCGGCCGTCCGGAGCGGCGTCGGCAGAGGTGGGACCCACCGCAAGAACGTTGTAGGGCCCCGTCCAGGAAAGTGCGAATTTGGCCTTGAGCACCTGTTGGTCCGTGTCGTTCTGCACACCNGAGTGCAGAACATAACGCGAAAGCTCGGCGGGCAGAGATTGCGGCAAGTCGTCCGTCTCGTACGGATTGCGACAGGGCTTGCAACGAAGGACAGACACGCGACAACGAGCTGCCGGGCCGGAAAGATCGGAAGGCAGGTCCAGGTAGAGGAGTTTACGCGCCAACGGGCGGCCGTCCGGAGTGGCGTCGGCAGAGGTGGGACCCACCGCAAGAACTTTGTAGGGCCCCGTCCAGGAAAGTGCGAATTTGGCCTTGAGCACCTGTTGGTCCGTGTCCTTCTGCACACCCTGTCGAATTTTAGCAGCCGTGTTGTACACCCAAGCCCACCCGCCAACGGTAAACTGAGGGAGCTTGTGAATGGCGTCCAGCAGGGATGAATTTCGGCGTTCGACTCGCGAAATCTTCAGCGCGTTGTACTCACGGACAAGTTCGTAGGCCCGGCGCTGGCGATCGCCAGCCAGGTTGCAATACTCGAGTTGATCGCGGGCCAAGCTTTGATGACCACCTACCGTGGGATGATCGAAGACCGAAAGCGGGAGTCGCGGGATGCGTCCGATGTGGATCTCGCTTGGCGCTAATCCAGTAGACTGGTTCACGGAATTGTTGTAGATAAACTCAACGTGCGGGAGATGTATGTCCCAATCGTTTTGCTGTTCGTTGACGACCACCGCAAGCATCTGGGCCATCGTGTGGTTGACGCGTTCCGTGCCGCCGTTGGTCTGTGGGTGGTAGGAGCTGGTGGTGACCCTCTTGATCTTCATCACCTCGTAGATCGCCATGGAGAGCTTCGAGCAGAAATGCAGTCCGTTGTCCGACAATAACGTAGTCGGACATCCCCACTTGGTCATGTATTGGTTGACGAAGATGTGAGCCGTCCCTCTCGCCGTAAATTCCGCCGCTGTAACTGCGAACATGTCGGCTCTCCGACTGAAACGGTCTGTGGACAACAACATGTAGGAGTTGCCCTTGGCAGTCACTGGCAGAGGTCCGAAGAAGTCGACGCCGACGACCGTACCAGGCCCCTGCGGCAATGGCATAGCGATGACGGGCCACCGAGCAGTCTGACGTGAAGTCTTGCGAGCTTGACACACCAAACACGCCCGAAGCCACCAGCGCACGGAACGATCCAAACCAACCCACCAGTAGAAGCGCTCGAGTAGACGCTGTGTACGATGGACGCCGAGATGGAATGACGCGGCGGTATGGCATGCATGAAGGACCCACGGACGCATCAGAATTGGCCCGTAGACACGGGGCACGCCAGTATCCGGCAGACGAGTGGTCCTGCCGCCAGAGCGCCCAACCGGCGACGTCGCCGATTTATGTACGAGGAGGGTGATGTTGTCATCGGTCGTGTGCAGTCTGGTTTTCGCCGCCAACACAAGCATATCATCTAACCGAGGGGAGCGAAGAGGAGCACAGAGAGGGAACAAGCCCGGAGGGGGTGGGGAGGGAGAACCGCAAGACAAAAAACGCATAGCCACCACACACTCGCTCTCCCGCTGCTGTTCCCTAGCCCAGTCCACAGTGCTGAAAGTCTGAACACAAGCCCGCAAGTGGGAGGTGTCCGAATCAGAAGATGCCGAAAAAAAATCAGGCGATCCAACGGAAGAGGCGGAAGAAGGCGAAGCCTCAGCGACTGGGGCAGCCGCAGTCCGTGGTGATGTCCGCGAAGGGGACATTGTGAGTGGCGAAGTCCCGGGCGAAACCTGTAGAGAAGGCGAAGTCGGGGATGCAGGGCGCGCCGCTGACGGCAAAGACACCGGTGGCGCAAGAGCAGTCGACGAAAACGCCTATGACGGCGTTGCGGATGGCGGCAGCAGACGCGCGGCGGTCCCGGTGGTCTTGTTTGTCGAGCGGGACCTGCCGGAGCGACGGGCAGGCGACGATGTCCGAGGGACGATGGTAGCCCGCGGCTGGCGTCCGAAATAAGCGGGACCGGTGACGGTGCCTCCGGAAACAGCGGTAGTTTTGGCCCGAGTCCGTGAAGAAATGAGC